GGGGGCCGGCGCGCGGCGGGCCCCGGCGCCCCCGCCTCTTCCTCCTCCTCCTCCCCCCACGTCAGCGAGAGACCGCACAGGTGTCCCAGCCCTGTTCTCCCCGCCCGCCTTCGTTTCTTGCTGTGGGTAGGGGAAGCCCCGAGTCTCACAGGTTAGATCCAGCTCGCGGGGTAGGGAGTGAGTGGAAGTTGCTTCGTGCATTGCTGCTCCCCTCTTCCCCCAGCTCGGGAAAGTCCACACAGGAAACGGCTCACCTGGAGACTTTCCCCACTGCTCCCATTCACTGGTATCCTGGCCAGATGCCCCAGCCTGGTCCTTCACCCTATCTCCCACCCAGACCCACTTCCACCTCCTCCTGCTCCTATTATGTCATCATGAGTGGATGGCTGGTGGTCCACAGAAAGGTTTACATTAAGCAGAGTTGGCCATGGGCTAGTATCTGGAATTTTCCCCAATATTCAGACCACTGAAGCTCTAGTCCATACACTTTCTCAACAGCAGCTATATCCCAGTAATACTGTGTGGGGCAGGTTAGAGACCCACTTCCTTGGCACAGTTTAGTGGTTACATTTTACAGAAGATGAAGAAGCATTTCAAAGCAAGTCAGAGCAGATTGGCTTTGTGTAGAATTGTAAGATGTTTGTTGCTCAACTTCATAAAATTAATTTTTGTGGAAGCTATGGATAATTTATTTTGATTCAGAAGCAAAAAGCTTCATACTCTTCTTAAATTACTTTATTTTTCAGTTCTTCCTTCCCACAGTGGAGAAAATCCCCTGTAATGCAGCCACCACTTTTCAGATGGCGGGTGTTGCTTCATTAAGTGTTAAGCATCCTGCTTCTATTTTATTGCTGGTCTTACTACTTGACTTATTCTTTACTAAGTTAGAGAATAAAACCCCCTGTTAATCAGTGTGCTGGCCTACAACTATTTTAGGAGTGCACAGCAATTCCCACAGAATATGGTGATGCAGAAAGACCCAAACCAATAGCTAAAGAACATTGTATGCTGTGAGTATTACTGATCTAGGTTAACATAAAGGCTATGATGATATAAAATATTTGCTAACATATTTTAAAAACAAACCTTTCGTCCTAGTTTAGACGTAGCTTTGGAGCTTGCACTCCAGGAGCTTTTTCCAGCTAAGGAAATGTGTTCCATCTGGCCCTTCCGTTTGGTCCTCCCCCTTTGCAGAGATGTGAAGACTACAGCATAGGCATGCTATAGGCATGAACCCAATGGGGCAGAGATGCAGGAATATCTTACTCTTCTTTCTGCTCTTCTGCTTTCAGCCAAAATGAAGACCTAGAGGAGATTGCATCTGCTGATCTGAAGTATCTGCTGTTGCCTGCTTTGTTGGGAGCTCTCACCCTCAAACAGGTCAATCTCAGTAAACGACTAGAACATGTGCAGAATGCTCGTGCCCACTTCATGGACTTTCTGATGCTCTCAAAGAACTACAATATTGGCAAGTTCCACCTTCCACCAACACCAGAAAACCTCAATGAAAATGAGCCTACAGAGAGTACTTCTGGGGCTGGCCCAGCTGGCAGACAGTCCAGTCTGGTGGCCATGGCATCTAATAGACAAGCAAAAATTGAAAGGTAGGCCATGGGCTTTCTATTTTTCTTACTAAAGCAGTTGGAGGCACAAAATAGGGGGTGGAGAAGTAAAGTAATTCACACTACGAAATGTGCAGTATGATATTATGGAAATGAATATAAAATGAATAAGAGAACTTGAATTGTAATTAAAATAGAAAAAGTTATATCATGCAGTTGTTGAATGCATGCCTTCTAGTTTCCAAGATATTCGCCATAGGTATCATAATACTGTTAGACTCTCCATGGGCAGTAGCACCCTTGATTTACTAGCCTTCATTAATAGGTATGTTGATGTTGATTACAACTTCTGTTAAGTAATAATAATCACTCTGGTTACCAAGACCTCATCTTTCACACAGAGGGACTATTTGTGAAGTGTTTACTAGTAGGCATGTGAAAAGTTAACCTGTAACTGGTGGGGGCTGAAGCAGCTCCCCACCTGCCAAGGACCTGTTGTGGACAAAGGCTGCTCTGGCAAGAGCTGGGAGCCAGTGACAGCTCCAGCTGAGAGCCGCCAGCCAGCTGTAGTATGGGGCTGGGTGTGGGAGCCCTGGAGGCTGCTTCCCCACCTGGATCTTGCTTAATCCGTTAACCTAACATTTAGCCAGTTAACCTAAACGTTAGCTGGTTAACTGATGAACCAGGATTTTGCAACCCTGTTTACCAGATTGGAGTCTAAAGTTGTAAATGAAAGGAAATAAAATATTACCAGAGCCTGTATTTCAATCTAAGAATGTTAATCCTGGTGGTAGAATACTATTGTATTGCTGTGGCACACAAAGGTCCCTGTTAGTATCAGGAACCATTTAATTGTGTTGTAAAAACACAAACAAGTGGTCCTTGCCCCCAGAAAGTTCATATTTCTAAGAGAAATGGATTTGGGATGGTAACATAGTATCATTTCACTGATCCAGTGGTCTTCAAAGCCTTTTTACTGTGAGAGAACACCATACACTTAAACCAAAGTCCTCAATAGTGCTGCATTTTCAGCATACACTGGAGTACAATAATTTAAACAATATCTGTTTTTCCTATTGTATAAGTTACAACTGTACATATAAAGTACATTTTGTTATGAGACCAAGGTTGCCAACAACCTTGGTGTCCTATAGCAAGAGGATACCTTATATGTGTACTACATTTTATTACGTGTGCGTGTGTGTATATGAGGAAAAACTGACTACGGCTAAATTTAATTAGTTTTCAAGCTGCTGTCGTCTCAATCTGTGAAGTTTGGCATTTCCATTGATTTGATGGCAGCAGTGAAGAATCATGGGGACTTGTGTAAAAATGGACATAGTTCACGCAAACTTTCAAAAAGTTGTATGGATCCACCAACAACCTTCTGTTCTGACAAATGGCACTTGTTTATATTCCATACCTTCATGTTCCTGCTGTCTCTTCCCTCACCCTTCAATCACCCAAAATGCATGGAGGCCTTCAACAATAACCTGGCAGGAAAGTGGTAGAATTCTAGATTCTGGGTAGTACTTACAAACTCTGAGTTCTTGAAGTAGCTTATTTGAAGACTGCCCTGCTTCAAAGTATGAAGGTCTGCTATGATGGGGATGACTTCCCTTGTGCTGCTCCAGGAGGGAAGCTGGAGATCAGGTCCTTCTGTTGCTTAGCATTGTGCTTCTCCAGCCTCTCAGTATTGCGTTTTGTAAGATTATCTTGAATGATTTGCCCTTTCATCTCCTTTCATTTTTTGCTTCTTGGTTCTTGTTTTGTTCTGACTAGGGATGTAGGCGACTACTCGACTATCCGATTAGCAAAAGCTTATCAGATAGTTGACACGCTAGTCGACTAGTTGCTTCCTCCCACTTGCTGCATCTATCATGAAGAGGCAGGGGCACAACAGCAGCCAACTTTGAAATGTACAAGAGTTCTCCTTGGGGCTTTCGTGCATTTCAAAGGTGGAACGCGGAAGTTCTTACCTAATCAAATAGTCAATGGAAATCCCATCGACTGTTTGATTAGTTAATCGCAATTTAACATCCATAATTCTGACTACCTCAAATAATTCCCCAGCTGAGTTTGTTAATCACTGAAATTGGATATAAGGGGTAAGGCTTAGAACCACCTTTCATTTAAAAAAATAATCCCATTAAATAATAAAACTGTTCCTTGTTTGCTAACTCAGGTGTCCTTTTGCACTTAGAAATCTAGGATTCAGATTTTGAAACCTAGAGTACGCTCGAGCTCGGAACTGCTGCATCCTATAAGATCCCCTGTTATGTCTTAATTAGACCCTTATTTAGGAAGTAAGCTCTCATGTAGAGGTACTAAAGCTTTTCAGGCTGTGTAGTTCAAGTGCCCCTTTCCTTCAGGTGGTCCCTCCGTTAGGATATTAGTTGTTGTATGGGGGAAGCTCATTGCCTTTGAAGGGATTTTACATTCCTAATGGGCAATCAGTTAACCAGTTAAGTTATTTTTAACTGGTTAACTGCTTAAATGGGGACAGGTTGGGAGACTGCTTCAGTCTGGCTGGGCTGGAGTTCATACACCCCCTTCACCATTGGCAGGGGCTGCTTCAGCCAGGCTGTGTCACGGTGGGCTGGGCCTGCCTTAGGAGGGAGCTGCTCTGACAGGGCTGTAATAGACTCCCTTCCCCTGCTCGTGGCCAGTGGGAGGCTGCTCCAGTCTCTGCCAGTTTACCATTCACATCTCTGTTGCCCATACACTATCCTGTGCATTTATGATGTAGCATAGCTTCTACCATAATAATTTTTACTCAGAAAATAACCCTTAATGGAATATTTAATGCATGATGCATATTTTTTTTTCTAGTTGGTTTCTCTGCAATCCCCTAGTCTTTTAAAGAGCTAATTTCCTGAAGACTGCATCATAACTAGGGATGTTAAAGTTAGATTAATCAACTAGTCGAATAGTCGATGGAATATCCACTTTGAAATGTAGCAAGAGCCTGCCTGGCTGTTGCCGCATTTAGAAGGCGGAAGTGCTGCACAGTGTTCCACCTTTGAAATGCCCAAAAACCCCAGCAAGAGCTCTTGAGCATTTCAAACACTGAAACACCGCATGGAGCCTGAGACCAGTGGGGGACTCTGAGTTCCATGCTGGACCGGGCTCCATGCAGCGCTTCCACTTTGAAATGTACAAGAGTCCCAGTGGGGACTCCTGTACATTTCAAAGGTGGAATGCCATCGCTGCGCCCCTGCTCCCTCCCACAGAGCTGAAGTTAGGGGGAACCGACTTTTAAGCCAGTTCCCCCAGCACCTTCTGCTCTCCTCCCTACTTCCCCCAACTGCCTCTATCAGAAAGAGGCAGCAAGGGGTGGGCAGTGACTTGTCAATTAGTTGCTTACATCCCTAGTTACAACCAGTTTAAAATTCTATCTCTGTGGTTTTAATTAATGGTCTGGCGGCTGCTTGAAAACTCAGATGTCAATCCCTTGAAATGCATTTTTTTCAACAGCAAAGTGGAGATACTTGCAGCCAAAGTCTTTCCTTACCCACACTGCAGTAATGAGACATCAAAAACTCTTCTTCTATATATTGTTCTGAGTTCCCAAAATTGTATTCGATCTTGTCCTTTTTCCAAAAATGCATGCAGTCTAAATTTCTTCTGACACATCAGAGAAGGATCATAACCAGATGAAGAGGAGGGAAAGGGGAGACTAGTAGATTTCCCTCTTGCTTTGAGCTGTATGCATAGGATTGTATATATAGCCTCCGTAGCCATACAGAGGAAAATGAAGACCTTTTGATCTTTGCTCGAGAAGGTAAATGTACATGCCAACTAGATTCTAATTGGACTGGAAAGTTATTCTAAAGGTAAGTCTATTTGCCTTTTATCTCAAGGTTTCAGCACCTCAGAGTTGTCAGCAACCCAGGTCTTGTAGTCTATGTTAAGTCTCTCAAATGATAATTTGTGAGCCCTTTGCTGTTGGTCTCCAAAGAGTGGTTTTCTAGTCATAGATGTTCACTTGAAATATATTAGTTGCACTTCCTGGGTCAGGCACCCTTGAGACCTGACCAGTCCTGAACAAGGGAGTATGCTGGACCAGGGGAGGTCAGTGCTGGACCCCTTGCCACTGGCCTGGCTCTGCTCTCAGCCCTGCTGAGCTCCTAGCCACCGGCTCCTCTCCTGCTGGACTCCCAGCTAGGATGTAAAATCCCGTTTGTTTAATTAACGGGTTAAATGTTAAGTTTAACCAGTTAACTGATTAAATGTGGGGGTGGGCACAGCCTGGAGTAACCCCTGCATTGTGGGCAGAGGCTGCTGCACCCCTACGGTGCTGTTGGCTCCCAGCCCACACAGCCTGGGAGTCTGCAGGCTTGCATGGGCTGGGAGCCAGTAGTCCCCTCTCCCTCCTCCTGCTGCTTCCATCCCACTTGAGTCTGCTGACTACCAAGCGAGCTGGGAGTCGGCAGTCTCCTCCTTCCCCCGCTCCCACCTCCACCTCCACCCCGTGCAAACCTGCTGACTACCAGCCTGTGTGATGGGGAGGCTAGAGCAGCTGTCAGCCCATGGTGGGCCACACCCAGGCAACTGTGGTCGGGCAAGATTACGGATGTTGTCAGCCCAGAGTGTCCCAGATCAAAGAGCACTGTACTTTATTAACATGCAATACTTACTTTTCCTTGTAAACCACTGCTGTAGTTCTACTGGGATGTATTCCAATTCTGAACTTTAGGGATGCTTGTTCCAGAAGGCAAATTCTCTAATAAAACATGATCACCCCTATGACAGCATCCTTGTTTTGTTTGTTTTATAATCAGCTGTGTCCATTTACCCTCAGTAAAGAAACTTGTTTGAAACAGGTTCCTTAAATGGTCCTCTCTCCCTCTGAGACAGATATAAGCAGAAGAAAGAGTTGGAGAACAAGTTGGCCTCCATGAAAGCTTTTGTGGAGAATGGCCAAGCAGAGGAGGAACAGATAAGGGAATACTATCTGATGCAAATCCAGAAGTGGATCTCTACAAGCTTGGAAGAAATTGAGAGTATTGACCAAGAAATGGTGATTTTGAGAGGAAGAAATGCACTAAAACAGGTATGAGATTCAGGATATGTCTTGGGCTATGAGTCTTGTAGGTTTTGTGTACAATTGGGGTGATGGACATTGAGACTTAAAATTAAAGATTATCATATGGTTGGAATGACAGAGTTTAGTGTACTTTCACATGTGGGTTGAAATTCTACATAAATCACAAATGAAGTGAATAGGGGGATCTCTTTTTAACAAACCAGAACTAAGTTTGGCATGACCTCTAGTAGTGAATTAGTCAAGGTTTGATATAGCAGAGGGTTGCACATCAGACTTGAGGTACATTAAAGACTCAAGGGGAGTTTTGTCCTACTTCCATATGTTATGCCAGATTGTCCCTCGCTCTTAAAATAATAAATCTGCAACAGTAAAAATAATAATCCAGTGATCTTTTAAGCATGCAGTTTTGGTTTTCAGAATGTCCAGGTACTTCTGAAAGGAGTGAGCCTGTTGAACAATAAAAGCACCTTTAGCAATATGTAGTCTGTACTAGGGATGTTAAAAACTGTTTTTTGTAAACGTGTAACTGCTGAAATGTTCCGTGTTTATCTGTGAATGGGGAGGTGGTTTAAGATGGCTCCCTGTGAACACGCCCTGCCCTGCCGCTGCCTCTGATACAGACTCCCTGTTAGCACTGGCTCCTGCCTGCTCTCCCCTACCCTCTGTGCTGCTGCTTCTGACACCAGGGTGGGGAGAGTGGGGGGGGCTTGTGTGTAACCATGAAGGTTAACTGATGAGCCCGGGCTCATCAGTTAACCGTGTATCCTAACACATTCCTTATCTGTAACACACTGAATGATGCTGTTTTCAAGAGTTCAGGCTTGGTTCTGTTGACTTAATATCTGCTGTTTAGAATTAGAAGCCCATTAACTAGGTATTACATAAAATCTTCCTGCTTTATTTGGGATGGAGACTTGTTTTGTGCACTTCAGTGTCTTGTCCCTGTAATACTGCCACATAGGATGACAGCACTCTGCTCATCCACGCAGCTCTGAGATTATAGGATTATTCTTCATGACAGGGTTTACTGAGTGGCCAATGTGCCATGTTTGGTCCCTGATAGAAATAATTGTTTTTCTTTACTTCATGTTAGTCTAGTTCAACTGTAGCTGCCTCATGTTTCATTAGGTTCTTGCTTTCTCCCAGGACTGAATTGCCTCAGGCATAGGGAGGTGAAGTCACATGCTAAAGCTCACTCAGGAGTTTGTGGCTTAGCGTGGGTTAGGCCTGGCCTTTGTCAGACTAGTAGTATGTCTTCACTGCAGTGGGCAGGTATGATTCCCAGCACTGGTAGACAAATGTATTTGGTCTGCTTGAGCAAATGTGCTGAACACAAAAGTGCTCATGCAGAATGGATGGTGGCACAGACTAATCATTGGAATTTGGACCCACATGGTCAAGCAGGTTTGGCTTTGGGCAGGAAGCCTGAGCCACTCACTGTGCCATAACACCCATACTGCTGTTTTCAGCACAGTAGTTCAAACAGAGCGTCCATACTGTGAATCGCACCTCCCAGCGGCAGTGTAGCTATAACCCAACTATGTTTCTCTGATTGTAGAGCTATCACTCCACTCATGCTCTGTTCTAAAGGACATGTAGGGGAGGTTATTCTGAAGGTAAAACTTTTTGACTTTTGTTTCCCATCTCAAGGCTTCAGCACCTCCTCAGAAATCCCATCAGCCCAGGATTGCAATGAAACCGTTCATTCTCACCCGGGACGCCATCCAGGCTAAGTATGTTGCACCATAACGTTAGGTGCACTGCGACATGTCTCTGTTTTCCTGAAAGTAGTGAGCACAGTGCTGATTGGAATGTTTGCAAGAAGCTAAGATGGGCTTAGGGCATTCTTCCACATCCACAGGAAATATTTCTTCAAGACCTGCACCACAGCAGGATGGCTTTTATTGTGTATGTGTGGGGAAGACGGGGGGTAGAAATTAAGTTACTTTCTCCCACTTTTTTCCTTTTCCTTTAATTCTCCCATACTAGTATGCTGTCCTGTGCGTCCTCCCTCCAGGGAGGCAGAGGAAGTGAAGTTCATCTTAGTAGTATCTCTGTATGTAGTGCATTGATCCAAGAGTACCACAATACCTGTGGTCTGTCTTCTTTGTATTTGGTTAGTTGGGGAGAGTTCCCAGCTGACAAGGTTTCCTGTGTCCCCCTCTGAACCATCAATGTGTCACATCAGCATCATCCTTACTGTTCGATAAGAGGGTCTCTTAGCACTTTTTTTACCAATCTAGAGCTTGAAAATAGATGCAAGAAGGGAAAGGTTGGAGGCTAGTTGGCAGTCCATTATGCTGCTCTTTGCTTCACCTTTGTTATAAATCCCTTCTTTATTTTAAAGGAATTGTACTACATACCTTGAGTTTTGACTCTATCCCAAGGAGAGGGTTGCAGGTTTGTACTCAAAGGATCTGGGTAACTCTGGCATAGTTTGTCAATGTCAGTCTCTAATGTGAAGTGTCAATGTGTTAGAACCAATGAAAGCTCTGTTTTAAGTAGCAATCTGTCCATCAGTATGATAGCAAACTCAAGAAAAGACTGTCATAGCCAATAATATAACCCAGTGGTCTCCAACCTTTTTAAGCAGGAGATCACTTTTGAGTTTAAATGCAATTCAGGATCTACCTCAAACACAAACACCCTTCCCCCACCTCCTTCCTGCCCCTTCTCCAAGGCCCAACCCCTGCTCACTCCATCCATTCTCTCTCCCCCATCCTTACTCAATTTTATTAGGCTGGGGCAGAGCGCTGGGGTTCAGGAGAGGGGAAAGCAGACTCTGATCTTGGGCTAAAGGATCTGGAGTGTGGGAGGGGCTCTGAACTGAGCCTGGTGTAAGGAGTGTTGAGGTGCAGGAGGGGGGTGAGTGTGCTGGCTCTGGGAGGGAATTGGGGTGCAGGGAGACTCAGGGCTAGGGCAGTGGTTTGGGGTTCAGGACTGGGGCCAAGGTTTGGAATGTATGCTCCAGCTGGGCACCACTTACCACAGGTGGCTGCTGGAAGGTGGTGCGGGGGTGGGGCTAAGGCAGGCTTACCCCTACTCTGGCTCTGCACCACTCCCAAAAGCTACCAGCAAACTCCCTCCATCCCTGCCTCCCTCTGCTCTGTGGAGATGGGCTACAGGGTAGAGGAAGGGCATCCTGACATCAGCAACCCCCTTCCTCCTCTTCCTGTGCCCTGCACAGCAAGCAAGAGGCTTCCAGGGATGGTGGGCAGTGCCAAGGCAGAGGGCAGGAGCAGCCCGGCAGTGCTGAGGGGGCAGAAGTGCCAGCACTTGGCAGCCTCCTGGCCAAACCTATCAGGATCACCTGTCAAAGGCTCCAGGATCTACTAGTAGATCCTGATCTACTGGTTGGTGACCACTGATATAACCCCTTAATTCAAGCTGTTTACAGGAAGTGCACTACATAGGTTCAGGACTTTATATTTGCAAAACTACTCGTTTACCATGTTATAAGGAATATGGTTGTCCAGTCTTTTGTCACCATCCTATACCAAGACTTGTTGCCATGCTCAAACATTGCCTTCATTGGGCTCTTAGAATGTTTTTTTTTTATAAGCTAAGTAAAGGACTGTGGATTCTGAATTTGGTTCCTATTTTTTTACAGCAAGCAATATCTAGGGGTGTTATCCATCCAGACCCTTTGGGTGAGTGGATGCTTCTTCAAGAGTCCAAAGAACTGGCCAGGGCTCTGCCTTTTAAACTTCAGAGATATCATCTGTGGCTGTCAGGTTACTGGAAAGCCAATTGCTATAGGTTTGAACTCTATACATACACATTAATTAGCTCCAATACAAGCCATGTGTATATTCCTCACAGCATTACAGGATAACTGTAAGGTATCCCAAAGTGTGTTAGGATACACATACCTAAATTAGAAGTTCCTAGCTATTAGTGATTTGAACTGCAGTTGCTGAGAGCTACAAGTCCTTGATGGAGGTGTTGATTACAACTACTTGTGCTGATAATAGTGCATCTGGAGTTTTCAGATGTGTGAGAGCATATGGATTAAGCCACAGTGGCAGACTCCAGAATAGCATTAGCTCTCTTCCAAAAGATGACAAAGTTGCATGTTACCAGTTTTCTCTGTTCTCAGTTCCTTTTTGATAAAGGATTTCACAGGACTACACTACAGACTGCAACAGAGGAGGCAGGAAGAGACATTTCTAGCCTTATAGCAATAAAGAAGAAAAACATTTACAGGGTTGGTGCTTGCCCTTTTGCTGTTCTAGTGAGGTTAAATGGCCTTCACTGGGGCAGTGACAAAATACAAGCAGCAATCTAGGAGATGGTAAGATATGTGCATAAAATTATGAAATGGGAAAATTATAGGAAGTGGAAAATAACGAAAGCATCCAAATCTGTGATCTGCATGAACACACACAGTACATAAAACAGATTGTTGCCAGATATCTTATTACAGCTGCTAAATGCAAAAATGAACAAGCCAAATAAGTGGAACTGAGCTTAAAAACAGCAGAAGAGTGCATCAGTTACAACCTTACTTTGACTGACAAGCCTAATAATGAACAAAAGCAATACATATTCAGTAGTCCTGGGGTATTGTCAGACCAATAGCCTGAAGAAAACGAGCACACTGGAAGGAAACTGTATATTGTAGGAGGAGAAACATCTTCATCAGATTGCATGAGAGTCTAAAGTATACTCTGGGGAGCAGTTTAAAGCAAGGGTCTGAGTTCAGTCCCTCAGAAGATGGTAGGGCAAACAGCCATGGCCAGAAGCTTTGGAATCAAAATGAAGTCAGAGTAGTTTGTGGAACAGACTTACCGAGATGGTAGCTGAGACCATATCCTTGCAGAATCAAGATCAGGGGAGATAAGACGTTGGTGGGAAGGATTTATGGGAGAGTTTGGGCAGATTACAAGAGTTCTGAGTGATGACCAAAGTGACCTTGTCTGTCCCTGCTGTCTTTTTCTGTGGGTTTTTAGTGCAGTTTCTTGCTGAGACTTAGTTCATCTAGAAGAAAACTAAAAGGAGTTTGGATCTAAGGGAGGAAAGACAAATTTCTCATAGCAGAATGGTCAGGGTGATCTTGTGGTTCACAAAGGGTCCAAAACAAAGATCCTAAATTTAAGGATCAGATTATAAACTGTGGCTGTCGAGCCTGTGGAGAAATTGGAATGATTTGTGCTATCTTAGCTAGATAATAGAGACCTTTGACTAGAAATGGCACATGTGTGGGGATGGAATTCAAAGGCATTCTGGTCTAAAATCCTTAACTATTTTCTGAGGATGTCATTCTGGGACCATTTTTGTTAATTTGATATGTTCATGGACCTAGGCCCATCTCATATGCATATAATAATTGCATGTTTCATGTACTCCTCATTCAGGAAGACCCCAAATGGCTTTGCAGATTTATTAACTACCACCCCTGAAACGCAGTCACTTTGTGGGCAGAACATCGTCTAGGCAGATGATTCTCTGTGTGCTGCAGCACCTCAAGAGGTTTTGGGTCAATTATACTAAGTCTAATCCTGTGTCTTATCAAATGGTCCCAGGGTTGGGATTTATCTACACAGACCTTACAGGGTTAGGCTTTACTTTTATTTTGAATAGTATATTCAACATAAAAGAAGAAAATAAGAGATGGTACAAATCAGGAGGGTTCTTTTCAATAGATAAACTAAGGACTTTTTTGAATGGGAGAGCAGAATGTGTTACGTTGAAGGACTTTTTTGAATGGGAGAGCAGAATGTGTTGATAAGTTGGGGCTGTCCTGGAAAATCTTTGTACTTCTTGGTATGTTGGGATACCTGAGGCTGCATCAGAAGGATTAATTTGACATAGAATGTGCCCAGTGTATGTTGCTTTAAATATCTGTTTCTTCCTGCAGGGTTTTAGGAGCTGGCTATCCTAGCCTAGCAACTATGACAGTAAATGATTGGTATGAACAGCGCATGAAACAGGGCATCTTGCCTGACAAAGGCATACCCCAGACAACAGCAGGTATGGAGTAATAAAGAAAATGTAAATGGGAATGCAAACGGTCCTCGGAATCTCAAAACAGGGTTCATTATTGCAGTGCCAGAAAAAAATTTTAAACAATAATTATACACAATTATAAAATGTGCATGAAATAGATAAACATAATATGATGGAGACAAGTTGAAACATCTCCCGTAAAGAGAAAATCTGGATCTAATTTACTAGTGTTCTGTAAGCTTAACAAAATAGGAGCAGACATGCTTTTTGAAAATCCAAACACACTGTTACCTGTTGTCATTCAGAGTTGTCACAGCAGGTTATTAAGAATACTTAGTAGGGTGACAAGCAAAGTATTGTCATGACTCAAACTAGCTGAGGCAGAAAACAGGAGGAAGAAAAAATACTAGCAAAAACTGAGAACTTCAGAGGGACCTTACAAAACTAAGTGAATAAGTAACATGATGACAGATAAGTGTTGGAAAAAGCAAGTTAGTGTACCCCAGAAGGAATGATCAGGCATATAACTGAGTTCTTAATTACCTTTCCTGAGTGGTTACAGTTATTTGAGCATTAATGTAGACATCACAATGAAAGCACCTGTTCAGTGGGCAGTAGCAGTCCAAAAAGCAAATACTGTGAGGAGGTATAAAGAGTGGGAGGGGAAATAATACTGAAAACATATTGCCATAATATAAATCAAGGCACACCTTCTCTTTGATCAGAACTGAATACAGTGCACCTCTTTTGAGGTGGGCTAACTAAGAAATAGAAGGGTCTGTGTATAAGCAGTGAAAGTGATACACTTTTGTGGAAGCTTCTATTTTAAGAGATACTTGGTGCAGGTTAGAAAGGAGATGAACAAAGGGGGATATAATAGTTTAAAACACCCAAGATAGAAAAGTAAAAGTTACACCAAGGTAAATGGGAGCACCTGTTCTCCCAATACAAAAACAGGGAAGATAGTTCCAGCCCCAAAGAACTTACCTGTATGTTGGTGCAGTGATTAGCCCCGGCACCCTAGACTGTAGGCACTGCTGCATAAAGTAACACATGAAATTAATCAGGAAATAAATTGTCTGTAACTGACCACTGGAACTCACTGCCACATTGTCTCTGAAGCAAAGAGGCTAACAGGATTAAAGGATTATACCAGAGGTGAAAGTGGGCCAGTGTGGCATTCTGGCCACCCCCCAGCCAAGTTCCCCCCCTACTCCCCACCAGGATCCAGAGGCACTGCTGCGGCAGTGTTTTAACCTCACTGCAATAGCAGCACTGCCAGACCCTAGTGACGGGGAGGGGGGAGGAAGAGCAAAAGGTGCAGCTGTGCCAGGGCCAGGTGGTCAGAGCTGGCCCAGCAATCGGAGCCATTTTATCCATTGGACGTCTTGTCCAGCTTATCTGGGCCTTGTGCTTTTGGGGGCCCTGCAGGGCCCAGGGCAGCCTGAGGGACTAAGTGACCTGGCACCAGCAGCAGGGGACGGACTGGCCCTTGCACTTCATCAGTGGCGGTGGGAAGCACAGTGACCTGACCCCAGTCTGCTCTGCTCCCCCGGCTCCCAGCCTTGTTGCTTGGGAGAAGAGATGGAAAGGGGGCAACGAGGAGCCAAGCAGGAGCACAGCTCAGCACCCTCTCTATGGGTGGCTCTGCCATTGATTTAAAAGGGTAGTGGCCAGGAGCCTGGGTCCTTCCAAAAATTGCTGGAGCCCCAGGACTCCCAAGCAGCCAGCTGATGGGGAAGAGGGCAGTTTGCCCAGCCACGTCCCTTTAGGGCAGTGGTCGCCAACCTTTTTAACCACACGATCACATTTTCAATCGAAGTGCAATGCAAGATCTACCTCAAGTCCAAATACCCTTGTCCCCCTTGCTCCTTGCCCCTTCTCTGAGGAATTGCCTCTGCTCCGCCCCTTCTCTGAGGCCTCACCCTGCTCACTCTATGCTCTTTCTCCCCATCCTCACTCACTTTCACCAGGCTGGGGTAGGGGCTGGGATTCAGGTTCTGGTCTTGGGCCAAGGTGTTTGAAGTGTGGGAGGGGCTCTGGGCTTAGCCCAGGCTGGGTGAATTGGGGTCCAGGAGGAGTTTCAGGGTGCAAATCTGGGAAGGAATTTGGGTGCAGGGGGACTCGCGTCTGAGGCAGAAGGCTGGATGTAGGAGGAGGTTCAGTTCTGGGACAGGTTCAGGAAGCAGTCTCTGGCAAGGCACTGTTTAACTGAGACAACTTCCAGGTTGTGGAGCAGTGTGGTTAAGGCAGGCTTACTCCTGTCCTGGCCCTGCACCACTCCTGAAAGCAGCTGGCATGTACAGCAATGGCTCCATGTGCTACCCCTCATCTACAGCCACAGCTTCTATTGGCCACGATTCCCCATTATTGATCAATGTGAACTGCAGGAGTGATGCCTACAGAAAAGGACAGCATGTGGAGACCCCCTGCTCTGCCTTTCAGGGGCTGCAGGGACAAGCCCACCACTTCCAGTAGCAGCAATTACCATAGGTATAATTACTCCAACCATGACAGATTATGCATTTTAGAACTCACTCCTCATAGAATTAAATACAAGTAAGAGAGAAATGAAAATTATGAAATGCACAGATCAGTCAAAATCTCAAAATAATGCACTTGCCAGCAGTAAAAGAAGTAACAGCAACCCCCCACGTGTGTTGGGTCAGGAGATGAAAGTGAATAACAGTGTGTGTTTGTGAGAATGACAGACACACAGTGTGAGAGAGAAATTTGCATTGCCAAGCTCGCTCCATCCCTCTCTCTGTGTGGAGACTGGATACAGGAGTGGAGGGAGGAGGGACACCCTGACATCAGTGCCCCTCCTCTCCGTCCCACACTCTTCACAGGAAGTAGGAGGCTCCTAAGGGGGCAACTCGAAGGTAGAGGGCAGGAGCAGCAGGGAAGTGTGTGAAAGGGCAACTGAAGTTCCAGCACTTCATAGCTTCCCAGCCAAACCAGTCAGGATCACCTGTCAGAGGCTCCAAGATCTACCAGTAGATCCCGATCTACTGGTGAGTGACCACTGCTTTAGGGGGCGCAGGCCGTTCCCTCCCCCTTCCCATCTGCCCCCCTACCCCCGCTAGGAGCACCAGGCCTGGTGCAAGGCACACCAGTAAGTGTGCTTTCACCCCATATTAGACACATTTCTGTGAATGAGTCTATCCACAGTTATGTTTGACTAGAAAAGCAGAAGGACTATAAGCCTTTGTCTTCAGGGTATACATCATTAACCAAAGGGGAATAGAAAGCATACCCATAGGGAACATTTATTTCATAATTGGCCATTGTGGGCTTTCTTGCATCTTTCTCTGAAACATCTAGCCTTGACTGTTGTCACAGATTGACTACCAAGCTAGATGAACCACTAGGCTGATCCCATATATGGCAAGTCCCTTGTTCCTAAAGAACATATTCCAGAAGACATCACTATAGAGAATCTGATTGGTGACTCCTTTGTTTCCGTTTCCCTGTGTAATAACTTACTCTCATTATGAGGAGCTGCAGAAAGAGCAGCAGGAGAAGAAGGTGGAAGAGGATGATGAAGAAACTCTACAGAAAGCTCGCGGCTGGGATGATTGGAAAGACACACACCCTAGGGGATATGGCAACCGACAGAACATGGGCTGACTGATGAAGGAATGACTAGGGCAGAAGAGTCTCGACTGAGTGTTCTCCGTGATATAGTAGGAGTAGGCTGGCGGGAGGTCGTTGGTTTCTGCTGAGGATCACCTGTAGAAGGAGACTGAACAAGGCAGTTTGTCTTGTTTTGCATTAAATATCTGAGTGTACATTATGATGGGCCAAAGCTTCATCAAGTGGGGATCCTTTACTTGAGGGGTCAGAGCAAAACTTCCATGGGCCTACCAAACAGAGGGAGTTACTGCTAAGCAAAACGTATATTAATTTGAAAGTGGCGCTCTCTATTGTTGTCTATTTATTTTTCTCATTTTAAAAAATAAAATTTCTTGTGCTGTTTAATCCTTAATGTAGAGTTCCTTGCTCCCTTGCCCATCTGTCGTCTTCATGCTGGAATACTGTTCCAGGGTCGTGGACAGTGAGAGTTCAGGCAACAATTTGCAGGAGTAAATTATCGATTGGGGCTCTACACAGGAGTTCATGAACGTGAGAGTCCTCTTTTATGAAGGGCTGTAGTCATAAAGATGGCCTCCTCTGCATCCAACCAGTGATGGTGCTGCTTTCAATGTTCAACATCTTTATTCTTCCCTGGGGGCTAACAGAAATACTGTGTAAAGCAGGCAAAATGTCTCAAGGACACTGACATTTAAATGGTGGTAATAGACCCACAACTACAGTAGGGATGTCAGCCTCCGGCACTGCAGCCTTCTCTCTTAGAATTCAAAATGGAGAGTTCATGTGGCTATAACACGTTACTATAAAATACAAAAGAATTGCTTGTGTCTTGAGATCCGCTTCTGACCAATGATTGAAATAAAGGTAAAGATCGGGGAGAACAGAACTACTTATGGAGCTGCCAGAGGCTAGAACTAAGAAATAAGGTGATATTAAAAGGAAATTCTAGGATGATCATCAAGAGAGTGGTAGAGGCCTCCTTGCCTGGGTTATTTAAAGCTAGTTTAGAAAGAAGGAGGGGGAAAACCTATAAGGAATAATGGTCCTGTACTGGCTGAGAAGAGGGGATAGCTCTGTCACACTTGGCACTACAATAGTGGCTTTATAGGGTAGTGAATCTAAATAGAGAAGCTACTTGCAGCAGCTTTGCACTACAGGCAGTCCCTGAGTTACGCGGATCCAACTTATGTCGGATCCGCACTTATGAACGGGGCTTTCTCGCCCCGGAGCTTGCAGGCAGCGGGACCGCCCAGAGTGCAGCAGTCCCGCCACCTCGACCTCTGGGGCGAGAAAAGCTGCTCTGGGGCGAGAAAAGCTGGGGACCGTCTCCAGCAGACCAGGGACACCGGGAGCAAAGCTGCAGCCGTGGCGCAGTCCCACGCCTCTGAGGCC